AGCTCCGCCCTCCCAGCCTTGCTGGGGAGCGAAACTCTTACTAACATGAGCTAAAATAGCATCTTGGAGATTCTGGTTCCGTGGGGATTTTATAAGAAAATAACAAAAACGGAAAAAACCAAGACTGCTATTCTATTGGCTAAACACATTTAGAAATGACAAGCTTCCTGAGTTAAATGAAATTAAACTGGTGTTGATGCCAGAATAACATCTCAGGGCCTTTAGTGTGCTCTGAGCATCCCAGAAGGGGGTCCCGTGTGCATCTTGCCTTGAAATGCACGTGACTCCCTCCCCCAGTTTAACCTCCCCCAAACAGTGTTTCACAGGGCACAGCGTGGGAGATGCTGCTTGAAACAAACACAGTCGGAGGCAAAGGGGGTAGGAGGGCGCCGGCCTCGATCAGGCATGCCAACACGGACTGCCGTGGCGGCTGCATCGGCTGCTCCATGTGTGCAGATACCGGCACGCTGGCTCCGTGCGGCTGATGAATGTGCAGATTGTGCAGCCCGGGCACCGGGCCTTCCCTGACGGGGCTGCGGGTCACATTCCCGGGCTGACCTCCCACGCTCTGCCCTGCACACTGCCAGTGAGAGGGCGTTCGAGCAACCAAGGAGTTCCGCCGCCAGGAAAGCAGGAGTGGCGGCTCCTCTGGCATTTTACTGGAGAAAGAGCTGTGTCATCACCGTGCTAAGGGGCCAGCAGAGTGCGGAGCCGAGGCACAGAGAGTCCGAAACAAATAATAACACAGACGGCATTTCTGGGGAACGCACGTGTGCAATTTTCTTTTGGCAGATTTCCCCCCCAAACGTCTGGCTCAGGCTGATAATGAAATGAGTTCACGCTCCCCGAACCTGCCCTGACTGCTGGTAGTCCGCGCGCAGCCACGTTCTGGGTGGCAGGACCCCTGGTTGGACGCTTGCCACCAACAGTCCAGGCGTGGGTCATTGGGAGCTGGCTGCGGAGCGAGAGACAAGATCGACAGGGCCAGCTTTTATTTCTGTGTAACTGGTGGGGAGCTGGGGAGAGGAAGGGAGGAGGACAACAGGCCCACGTTAGACCTGCTAAGAGTGGAAAAACTATAGAAATTCAAGGGGAACACCCCAGGCTGAGGGCAGGGTCCTGGATCTGGAGCCCGAAAAGCAGTGGCCACCGGGGCGTGGACTCACAGCCATGATGCACACTTTGTGTTGGAGGGCGGTGCCCCCGCCGACCCCACCAGCAGAAAACCCTTTGAGTGTATGTTCCCAATCCTTGGGGCACATGTGGGGGGCAGGGCCACGCTAGGACAACATGAGCTAAAATAGCATCTTTGATGTGCACGTGGAATCAATACAAGTAGACCAAGCCCACTTCTTCCCTTCCTCAGGATCAGCAAGGCGCTGTGCGATCGGCTTGGGTCAGTTACAGAATCCCAAGGGGAAACAACCCTTGGTCTAAATGTTCGAAGCACTCATGTCCTAGAAGACACACACTTGATCATTGATTACCCATTACGCAATACCGAAGGCGCAAGGAGAGCAAAGAGATGCCGTAAGGGAGCCTTCTTACTCGTCTCTGGGCCCCATGGGCCTTCTCTCTCTTTCATGGCATAGTTGCAACTTAAAAAGAAAAAAAAAAAGAAAAGTCCCCTTGATAGGGATTATGTCAGCTTGCTTTTCTACTTGTTACTCTGCTGAGAGCATCGCATGAATGCCGATGCCCTTCCCCCCCACCCCACCCCCAGGGTTTCAGAGCAGCGGACCTCCACTTTCTAGAACTAAGCACACACCCTTCACCTTGGGTGAGTTCACACTCAGCCTCAGCCGATCTCCATGAACAGATGCTGTGCAAAGTCTCCCTCAGCAACCTGTTTGTTTAACAGACCAGTTACTTTAATATGTGACTACCATACACCCCAAGTGTCAACCCAGTACAGGAGCCACATAAGTTAGACTGACATGTCTGCATGTCTGCGTGGAGAATGAGGGAATGTGTCCTGGAAGCTGCCCTGTGGCTTAGTGACCACAGGGGATGCGGGGAAGGGGCAGTGAGTCCCAGCCCAGGTCGAGGCCCAGGCTGAAGCAGCTCCCTTCTTTTCCTGGTGCTAACCCCGAGGCTGGAGTGGGGGCAGGGAGCTGGGTCAGTGCGAATGAGCAGAGCGGGAGCTGCGCCTTTCTGGACGGCTGCCAGTCTCCCATGCCTGGCTCTGGAGCGCTGGCCTCGGGGGGAAATGGGAATGTCACCAGCCTGTTTGTAACTCCCGAATGTTTCCATGAAGTCAGCCCAGGCCGGAGGGAGGATGGGCGGTGGGGAGAGGAGGAGTGGGGGGGGAGGGGGAGAGGTTATGCCCAATCTGGGATAGTTGAACTCTTGAGCTGTGAGAACCCTCGTGAGAGAATCTTACCCACTTTCTCTTCATGATCTACTCTCTTGCCTCCTTAATGAGCAGAAGAAAGTGGAGTTGGGACTTGAGGAGGGTTGTCTGGACCCAGCTGCCCTGGCTTCTCTCTGGCCTCACAGCCTCATCTATAAACTAGGTGGGGGTGGGGGTGGGGAGAGAAAGCTCTCGAGCTCCCTTCCAGGTCTGTGTCCCAGTCCCCAGCGTCTGCCCTGGAAATGCAGTCACTGGCCTCTTAATCTCGAGGAATTCAAAGGCGGACGATGATAAGGGCGATACCCGGTGGTTGTACATCCTCCGTGATTTGCTGGAGACTTTCCAGATGCACAGCCCTCGGTTCCCCGCAGCCTGTGGGGAAGCGGGCAGCGCCCAGTGTGGCTGTGGCTCTGTGAGGCCACCCTGCACGCCTCGTTTCCTGAGGGAGCCCCTGTTTTGGGGGGTCTCACCTCCTTGCTTCACGGAGTCCCTGAAAGCTCAGCCGGCTGGTTGTTTTGCTCAGCCCACTCCTCCCGGGGGTGGAGTTCTCACCGTCCTGTCCCGTGTGTGGGCCCCATTCCCAGGCCCTAAGTCAGACCCTAGCTCCCTGGCCGGGCATCCTCGTCCTGTTCTCCCTCATGGAACTGAAGGTGGAAGGGGAATTTCTGGAGTTGGGTTTTGACTATCGAAAGTGTAAATATGAGTTATTAATTGACCATTTTAATTAAGCATTTCACACAATACCTGATTTAAACTGTCAGCCTGCGGTGGGAGGAGAGGGGCTTCTCACCCATTTTCTCCAGAAGGCCCTGTTGAAATGTGGGTTCCCTGGGGGGCTGCCCCCTGTGGCCTCTATCAGAGTTGAGTGTAGCTCAGCTAACAGGTGCGTGGACAGCAGGGCCGTAGGGAGCCTGCCAGGCGAGCTCCGTTGGGAGGGAAGGGGCGAGGGCCTGAGGGTTTCCAGGACAGTGGTTCTAGCCCTCACTGTTCATCCGAATCCCAGAGGCCCGGGCTCTGCCCCAGAGATGTGACTCCATGGGGGTGGGGGGTCACCCAGGCAGGGGTGCTTGTCTTTAGAGCCCCCCTGGGGAGTCTAATGTGCAGGAGGGTTGAGAGCCCTGCCCCAGGCGGTGCCCAGGGGGTGGGGGTCATCCTGGGAGTTGGGCAACGTGGAGTCATCAAGCACTGGCCAGGGTGTGTGAGGACCCCTCCTCAAGGCTGGGATCACAGGTTTTTATCATTTGGAAACTAAAAAAAAAAAATGTTTTTATTGATTTGAGAGAGAAAGAAAGACCTCAATTTGTTGTTCTCCTTATGCATGCATTCATTGGCTGCTCCTTGTTATGTGCCCTGACTGGGGATCGAACCCACAACTGTGGCCTATCAGGACCAGGCTCTAACCAACTGAGCTACTCAGCCAGGACTTCTTGCTGGAGCAGACTCCTCAGTCAGGTGTTTATCAGAATCTGAAAGGTCTCTAGCCTACAGCTGGACATGTCCAGACGGGGCTCTGCACTCCGATTGGTTCCTCCAAGGACCCTGGGGCTTCCCTGTCCCAGCATCACACACACACACACACACACACACACACACACACACACACACACGAGAGGGGCAGAGCAGAACATCCCCTGAAGCCAAACACCGGAAGACAGGCAGGAATTCTGGCCTTCGGGCGCAGGAGGGCTGGGCTGGCCTTGTTGGGAGCTCATTACCTGTGTGGAGCCACTACCCAGCATCTAACACCCACGTGTATTGCCTCTTTTCCAAAGAGATTGTGTCGAGTGCTTGTTGCTTCACTCAGGGAGCCCAGCTGACAACCAGACCTGCCAAAACCTGTGCAAGGATGAGGTGATCACATGGGTGGACGCCATCGGTGAGTGGATGGGCAGCTGCCCCGTCTTGGGTCTTACAGACTCACAGAGACCTTCCCCCCTGTGGGATGATCTCCACGGCTGCTTGCCAGGGAGGAGGGTGGTTTCAGCCCTGAGTTAGGAAGCATGGCCTCAGTGTCCTTGGCATGACTGCTGCTCCCCAAGAGGACGTGGGGAACCCGAGCTGGGGTCTAGGGTCCAGACTCTCTAGAGTAGAAGACCTCCCTGTTCATAAGTCTGTCCCATCACTGGAACCCAGTCTCCCCCCAGGCCTCCTGAGAAGGTAGTGCACCGGAATAAGTAATGTTAGATGCTGTAACAAACAAACCTCGAACCTCGACAACTTAACAAAACCTAAGTCAGTTTATCACTCGCTGAAAGGCTGGAGGAGGTGCTCTGGTGACAAGCCTTCCCTGTGGTCATTCAGGAATGCAGGCCCTCTCCGTGCCCAGGTTCCTCCCTCCTCGTGGTCCTCAGACGCCTCTTCGTGTAGCTGGCCAAGGGGGAAAGGCAGAGTGAAGGGTCACGTGGGAGGTGCATACAGGCTGGGCCTGGAAGTGGTGCACATGACGTCCATCCCCATTTACCTGCAAGGGCGGCTGGGAAATGGAGTCAGCTGTGTGCCTAGGAAACGGAATCTGCTCTTGGGGAACAGTCTCTGCCCCATTGGCCTTTGCCCAGCGCAGCTCTCAGATGCTGCAGGCGGAGGGGGCAGAGCTCTCCTCGGTCCGACTGAACCAGAATTGAGAGATGCCCTGGCTCTTCTGCCGTCTCTGCGCCTCTTGCCCATTCCGTGTCCTGTTGCCTTGCCCAGCGGCTCACGTTTTAAGGCTCTTCTCCCTCTGGCCACTCCAGTTGGACACCTTCCCTCCATCCCTCTGCCTTTACCTCTGGACAAACAGCTGCGAGTCCATTGCTGACCTGGAGCCCACGGGAGGCTCAGACAGAGGGACACGGGTGTTTGCCTCTTACCCTCTTGGGGCTGCATCCATATCTCTTCTAGTACAGTCATCGCCGTCCAGGCTGAGGAGTTCTAAGGGTAAGAGATGCAAAGCACATGTCAGCCCTGTAAGCATGGAACTGTGTTTGGAACAGTTCCAGAACATTCTGTTTACTACACCCAGTCGCGGTGACCCTGTGTTGGAACCCTACTGCACTGCTGGCGGGAATACAAACGATGCAGCCACTTTGGAAACAATTTAGCAGTTTCCCCCCAAATTAAACAAAGTCACCATACGATCTATCAATTCTGCTTCCAGGCATATACACAAGAAAATTGAAAACAGAGGTTAACACAAAATCTCGTGCCTGAGTGTTCACAGCAGCATTATCCATGGCAGTCAGAAACTGGAAACAACCCAAATGTACATGAACTAAGGAATGGAAAGTAAAATGTGGTGCATTTATATAATGAATATTATTCCTCCATAAAAAGGAATGAAGTGTCAGTACGCGCTGCAGCATGGGAGAACCTTGAAAATATTATGCAAAGCCAGGCAGCAAAGGATGGAGGTTATAGGATTCCAGTTATATGACAGGCCCCAAATAGACAAAAGCAGAGCGACCGGGAGTAGGCTAGTAGCTGCCAGGAACTGGGGAGGAAAGGGATTGGGCCTGTGACAGTCTACACGTATGGGCTTTCTCTCTGGAGTGACAGAAACATCCTGAAATTAGATAGTGGGCAGGTCACACACGTTGTGAACATTACAAAACGACTGAGCTGTACACTTTAAAAATGGTTAAAAGGTGGGGAAAGGCTGTGCACCTCGGAAGGGACCCTGCATCTGAGGCCCCCTGGCCGGCAGCCTTGCCCTCTGTGTGACCTCAGCTGCCGCGGACTCCCAGCCCAGCTGCCTGTCGGCCTGGCCCTGCCTGGCCTTCTTTGTGGACTTCCTGCTCCTGCCTCTCTCACCCTGACTGATGCCTCTGGCCAGATCATGGCTCCTGTTGAGTCATGTATGCAGCCAGCATTCACTGAGCACCGACTGTATGCCAGGGCTTGTGCGACACCCGGGGGCAGTGGGAGCTTAGAGTCCCATCTTCCATGCCCATTTTCCTGCCCCTATTTCTGTCTTGAAACTTAAGGCCGAACAGCAGGTTCTGCCTGCAGATCTGGGGCAGTTGCCCCCTAACTAGACGCACGCAGTTAGAAAGATGAGACAGTGCCCGCCGCTGGCCACGAACTGGTTCCCGTGGCGCAGTGCGTCGACCCTCCACAGCTGCCTCCTGGTCTGCCCTGGGAGATGCAGCGGTCGCTTCACAGAGCGGGTTTCTGTTTGAACCCACTCGTTATGCTGCCCCGTCCTCCTCCCTGGCTTTTTCCATACACACACACACACACACACACACACACACTCACTCACGCAGACCAGGTGATGACTTGGGGGCGCACACACACACTCACACACACTCACACTCACTCACTCATAGTCACGCAGACCAGGCGATGACTGGGGGCAGAGGGGAAAGGTCCAGGCCTCCGTGTCTGAAAACCACACTACTGTATCTGTTCCAGGTTGAAAGTCCTTTGTTCAGCAGGGTTACAAAGGCCAGAGCCGAAGAGCATTTCACGTAACAGGAGCCTGCACCGTCATTCAGGCCGACCACCCCTTCCTGGCACTCACCTCCCGCTAACTCTCACCACAGTCCCTTTCCCTCCCAGGCACAGCCTCAAGCCTTCCCTTCCGAGAAAGCCCGGGGATGCAGGTCATGCCCGATGGGGACTGTGACCCTTAACCTTGGGAGACTGCGGGCACAGGGAGGACTGAGGCAGCTAGAGGAAGGGGCTTGTTACCACAGAGGAGGGAGGCCAGTCAGCGTCCAGGCTCTGCTTGGCGTGCAGGCAGCACTGTGGGTATCAGCCTTTCTCCCAACGTCCTCATCACCTTGTGGTCTTTCGGGCTTTACATCCCAAGAGAGAGCTTCTGAGGCTTGGCCTCGAGCCAGCGCTCAGCCTGTGGACCGCAGTGAACTCTCACTCGGGCCTCCAGGGCACCAGAGGGCTCTTTTTCTCTGTCCCTTTAACGTCCACAGCCAATTCCACGGGCCAGTCCCGCCCCAGCATCCATGCCCCCTCCCATTGCCCTTCACCCCAGCAAACCCGTCAGAGGTTGAAGATCCTCTTGTTTTCCACAGGGATCCCTTGCATCTGAGGGAATTCATGTCCCTAAAGCAAACGAAACTCAGCGCCTGGGCCTGCATTCTTGATGGGAGAAACCTGAGCTCGTTTTTGTTTTTTTTGTTTTTTAAAGGGCCTTAACACACGCGTATGACCCGCACTTACTGGGAATTCCTCATTCGTGGGGGATAATTGCAATCCCCGATCCTCATCACCAATGGGGTTCAATGGTGTCTGCTGGCATGGGATGGGTACGCACTGAGTCAGTCAGTCATTGTAGTTCCTGCAGCCCTCGTCCCTCTAGGAAGTTGGGGGACGCTGACTGCTTGGGGATCGGCTGAGTTCGCTTTTAAAGGCCCAGCCTCCCTTTAAGCTCGTCTGCGCCCCTGTCTCCTGCGAGGTGGTAGGCTCCTCGCCGGTCGGTCGGTGGTCGGTGGTTCTGGGTTGCTCAGAGACACTCAGGACGTTCCTGCCTTTTTCTTGCAGGGAAAGATGACCAGGAAGCCGTGCTTTGCTTCTACAAAACTGCCAAGGATTGTGTCATGCTGTTCACCTACGCAGAGCTGCCCAGCGGGAAGTCCAACCTGACGGTCCTCAGGGAGCCAGGTGGGTGAGGGCTGGTCCGGACACCACCCCTGCTCTGGGCATGCCGCCCATCACTCCTCACCGCCCTTTCCAACCTCGAGAGAGAGGAGGCCGACAATCCTTGTAAAGATCGGACTCCGTGGCCACACCTGCCTGCCTCCTAGAGTTTAGAAGGAAGATGGTTGCATATCTGGGACCCATTGCTGGGGCGTAGCTTGGAGGGCATGGGCGTTGGAGGATAGGGGGAGTGTCCCGTCTCGGAGGGGAGAGGAAGCCCGGAACACACTTAACCTGCAGGGCTGAGCGTCTGTGGTGGGGGCTCCTGGGCTCTGCAGGGAGCTCGCAGGTCTCTCTGGACAATGAGGGCTGAGCAGGCCAGCGCTGTGCCGGGAGCATCTGGGTAGGCTCAGCCCTGGCCGGGCCGCCGCACCGCCCAACGCAGCGTCCAAGGCAGAGGGAGGCTGGGTTAAACATTCCTGTGGGCTGCTGGGCCTCGGGGCCACTGAGGAGGCTCAGCTTTAATCCAAACAGAGTGCCTGGTGCCAGGGGGCCGTGGCCTCTTGCCTTGGAGCAATTAGGGTTCCTAGTATGACCCCTTTTGTTCTTCTCTGGCGGGGTGGAGGGAGCAGGGAAAGATGTGCTCTCTTTAATTCACAGCATCGCAAACTGTTTGTCCAAACTGGGCCACACCGCACGATGCGCCTTCCCGGCTAGTGTGGTGGCAGCCCAGATGCGTGCCTGTGAGAACGAGGCTGCTTCCAAGCGCCGTCTTTGCGGTTCTTTGAAAATAAGCACATCTGCTCCAGAGGGCACCACACTAAGGGCTTACAAATGTTGGCTGGCCCCGGCCCAGCCCAGCCCAGCCCTCGTGGAAATGGCTCACGAAACCTCCTGCCTGCCCAGGCTGCCCCTGAAACCATTTACAGGAAGTGGAGGCGGGGCCCGGCGTCCTGCACGGGGCCTGGGCCAGGCTGGAGCAGGGTGCTGCGAGCTGGGGGAGGCAGCCGTGTACAGGGCACGTGGGAGGAAGTGGAGCAGCCCCCAGGGTTCTCACCTAGACTTGCTGTGTGGCCCCTCTTTCACCGAATGTGCATGGAAGAAACCTGCCTGCCCACCCACGTCTGCCAGGGCAGCGAGAGGCTCTTAAGAGGAGGAGGGAGGGGTGAGGGAGAGACAGGTGCCTTTCACTCAGATCCCCTGAGGCCGGGGCAGGAGGGGCGCACCATGGTGGTGCCTGTGCTCACCAGACCTCCTGGTCCCACCCAGAGTGTGGAACGGCCCCCAACGTCACCACCATCCTCCTGATCGTGGTCGGCAGTATCCTCCTGATTGGGTTCGTGCTCCTGGGCATCTGGAAGCTGCTTGTCACCATCCACGACCGCAGAGAGTTTGCAAAGTTCCAGAGCGAGCGATCCAGGGCCCGCTATGAAATGGTAAGCCGTTGGGAAGTGGGAAGTAGGAAAAAAATGCCAAGTTTAGAGGTCTGGTTGAGTTCAAGCAAGTGGTAAAGGCCCACTAACATCTTGGGCATTCAAAACAAAGAACAGAACCTGAAAGGCGTGCGCCCACCTCTGGACGGAGAGAAGTGCATGGCCCAGGAGCACAGAGGGCCCCGCACCAAGTGGGGAGACTCGGGGGGCAGAGGTGCTCGCAGGACCTCCCCAGAAAGAGTCTGGAGGGTCTTAGGGAGACGACAGACCCAGGTCTGTATTTCAGGATCCATCTGCATAAGCCTTGTCTCCGCAAGCAAACTGCACGTTCCTGAAGGACTGAGCCGAGTAAGGGAGTTCCTCGCCTGAATCCCCAGTTAGTTTCTGTTCAAGTGGAAGGAGCTTCAGAGACCAGCTCCCAGCCCTCACTGCAGAGGTGGAAAGCGAGAGCTCAGAAGGGAGGGACGTGCCCGGGGCAGGCGAGTCAGAGGCAGCTGGTTCCTGCACACCAGACTCTCCGCCTGTGTGCTCTGCCTGCTGCCCTCCTGGGTGACCGGCCAGGGAAGGGCCTCCAGCCCCGAGTGTGGATGGAGTGGATGGGAACGCATCGATTAGTGCGGTGGCAGCCACAGATGCGTGTCCTCCCCGGACTAACACGTGTCCCCTGCCTTCCATGTTCCGCAGGCTTCAAACCCTCTGTACAGAAAGCCCATCTCCACACACGCCGTGGATTTCACCTTCAACAAATTCAACAGATCCTACAACGGCGCCGTGGACTGACGGCTGCTCCTCCTTCGAGGGCTGGAGGGGCGTCTGGTGAAGTCAGAGACTGACACGCTTTGGGCAGCTGCTGGACTCGATCACGGCTCCCACGATAGACAAGCAGAGACTGAGCGGTGAGCCTGGGAGAGGAGCCCATTGCCGGCGCAGGCAGGCTCCCAGCCCGCCGTGCCACAGGCTGCTGGACCACAGCCATGCCAGGCGCCACCCTCCGTGCCTGGGAAGGAGCAGGGGAGCTTGGCGCTCTTGGCCTTCCCCGCCACATCCCGCTTGTCCTGTCCATGGGCTGCCGAGATGCTGGGCTGCCCCTCCCTCCCAGGAGGGCCAGGCTCCAGTCTGGCCGGAGCAGAAGGCTCCTGGGAGTGTCGGCGTGCATCACATCGACGGGTGGTCTGGCTTTTTGCGTGTTGATCATTTTTATATGAAATAAAAAGGTCGTGCATTTATGGTGTAGTGGTGATTCCTGAGAATTGTCTGCCTGATGTCTATGCACATGGGTGTTGGTGATGGAATTATGGAGACGCCTGCTGAAGGCACAGCGTTGGCAAATGTCAGCTTCCCTCTTCTGTCCGTGTTTGTTTAGTACTTTTGTAACGAAAAGGAAAGAGATTGCTTGGGATTGAAAGTAAAGATTAAAACCAAAATGTTTTGTGTTTGCCTGCTGCTCTCTACGACGTGTGTGCGTGTCCCTTTCCGAAGTGGCCTTGAATGGCGCCTCAGTGGGGACTGAGATGGCCACACACTTCCCTCCGGGGCCTCACAGGCCAGCCCCGAGCTCCAGACTGGCCTCTTCAAACACAGCAGCCAGGGTGGGGGCTCAGGTGCCGCCAGGGTGCCCCAGGAGGGCCGAGCAGGTGCTCTTTGACCCTCCCAGATTTTGCTTAAAAATTAAGAGTGTAGGCTAGAAAACGTAAAAACCCTCCCCTCTGACTTCCCTCCCCAGTTTCCAGATACTGAGGCCAGAAATAGATTGAAGAAGGGGTCAGGATGTGGTTTCCAAACAAAAATCTCTTCTTACACATCGTTCTCCAGAACATTATGTCAGTGCCTTCCCCACCAAACTCCTACGTCCCGACCAGGCCCAAAGCAAAAGACCCATTTCAGCTTTTTTTCCTTCCTAAGGGCCCTGAAGCCCCCTAGGTCCCCATATCTGAGATGGAGGGAGCCCCACAAGTTGTTTGATCCAATCCCCTATTTGTAGAAGAGGAAACGGATGGGCAGAGAGGGGAAGTCGCCTGTCCAGGTGTCCGGAGGCTCACGCATGGCAGACTGGTACTAAAGAGCCAGGTCTCCACCAGAGTGCTGCCCCACTGCCTGCTCTCTCTTGTAAAAATCTCTCTCACTAATCATTTTTTGCTTTTGGCATTACTTCAAGGTTATTGGGCTTTCATTCCAAGAAATTCATCTGTTTTCAGCCTGGGACCAGATTCCGCCTTATTTTGGCAAACAGGAAGACAAGGCTTGTCAGTAAACAGGGCCTGTTCCCCGGGCAGATGTGCACAGACTCTGTATCCTTTGTCCTGTGCCATTGGGAGACCCCGTGACTTGGTGAAGCTGCCTCAAATCCTTTTTGAAATAGGGCCTAATGTATGTAAATATATAAAACTAGCGGCCCAGTGCATGAAATTCGTGCACTCGTG